AGAGAGAGAGAGAGAGAGAGAGAGAGAGAGAGAGAGAGAGAGAGAGAGAGAGAGAGAGAGAGAGCTTCCCGGTAAACCGTAGGCAGAGAGGGAAAAGAGGACAACAAACGAGGGGCTGTGACAAACTGTTTCGTCGGACTTTCAAATATATATATATTATATACATCGTCAAATAGAACTGCCCGGTATATATATTGTCACAGAACTATTAACTAAGAGTGCAAGAAAGTGAAGTAGAAGAAGAAATAAGATGAGTGAAGAATAGAAAAATGAAAGGACAGACGGGCAAAGAGACAGACAAACTAGAATGACACAAAACAGTGTCCTCTTATTCTTTGTTTCACTGTATTCTTATTTCTTTCAGTGTTTTACAAAAAAAAATTAACTGAACATTGAACAAAGAATAAAAATAAAAAACAAAGACATATTGAAATCATTCAGTTCCTCAGTCTTCTCAACGCCTCCTCCACTGTGCCCCTAACGTACAAGGCTCGCCACGTTGATGAAGTTGAGCGCGGACTGCCCCCATCCCCGTGTGCCATAACAGCCCACTTGTACGCTGTGAGAAAGAGGCCGAGTGAAGGGGGAGGGGATAAACACACGGAGGAGAGATGGTGAGCAGACAAACAAAGAACGATAAAGGGGAAGTAAGGGAAAGTATGGAGTGTGGAGTGAAGATGAAGGCAAAACAGGATAAGAAAAGGCTCAGGAACGAGTCTGTCCTTGACGACAGAGAGGACATACATTGCAAGGATGAGGTGGATGAACACATGGAAGACCTAGCTGAGCATTCTCAGTGCAACCATTGCCACGACGGCTGGCATTGAGCATGTATATATCGTCAAACAGAGCTGCCTGGTAAACCGTAGGCAGAGAGGGAGAAGAGGACAAGAGACGAGGGGCTGCGACAAACTGTTCAGTCGGAGTTCCACCGACTCATCAGGAGGCTGAATATATATCGTACATGTGGCGCATCATGTGCGCCGCATAGCGCATGCGCACACGTGCACGCGTACATGATGCGGAGCATTTACAAAAAAAAAAAAAAAAAACAGGAAAAAGGGTAGGCACTAGGCCGTGGTAACCAAAAGTGCCCCTCCCTTTTGAAAATTGTTAGTGCACAGAAAAATATATATATATTTTGAATCTTTGAGGCCACTTCGTACTACTAATTGGATCTATTAATTCTATTCTCTTTTCCCAAAGGTCCCCTGCAAAGAATCAGCAGGGTTCCTGTGCTTTTGGAAGGATGTTCATTGAAATGCTGGCAGACCATGAGCAGGCCAGCTATATATCCTGGATTCGGATTCAGGTCTGTGTTGCAAAAGTTATGGGTTACGAAAGTACTACAAGGTTAGTTCAAACACTACAGTAGCTGTCTCGTTTTTTTCTTTTTCCTTTGCTTACGTGCAGTGGCCCTAAGGGCCTCGCTCCACTCATCACAAAAGAAAAACATGTGGCTTCCATGGTTCCAGTTTCTAGGAGAAGATTCATTCTACGGTAGTTTTGCACATTTGGTGAGTAGTGGAGTGAAGCCCTTTTGAGAATCACATGCCGAGTTAGTAAGTCAGTAACCCATAACTGAATTCGAACACGCACATGAATTTGAAGCATCACCATATATAGCTGTCCTGCTCCCTCCTTACTACAAGTGCAGTGACTACCCTTCTCCTGCTGACGGGACCCTTGCCAATTTTTTGGCAGGGACCTTTTGAAGTACCGGCAGGGGTTGTCTGAATAATTTGAAAGGGATCTCTCTCTCTCTCTCTCTCTCTCTCTCTCTCTCTCTCTCTCTCTCTCTCTCTCTCTCCAGCCTGTATACACACATCACGGTTGTTTTTCTTCTTTCTTTTTGTTGGGCATCTGCGGTCAGCGCACCGCACAGCACACACACGCACACACACACACACACACACACACACACACACACACACACACAGAGAGAGAGAGAGAGAGAGAGAGAGAGAGAGAGAGAGAGAGAGAGAGAGAGAGAGAGAGAGAGAGAGAGAGAGAGAGAGAGAGAGAGAGAGAGAGAGATTCATAGGTACCCGTATCGTTCAATGGAACGAGATGAAGATCTCCCACATGTAAATCGTCAGCAGTGCTTGCTGCTACATACGCTTCCGATACACAAACAGAGAGCCTATCCAATGCACTGAGCATTCCTCCTTGACCCCATATACCTGAGTCATCAACGGCACTGCCAGTAGCCAATAACCAATAGCCAATAGCCAATAACCAGTGGTCAACAAAGACGACCAGGACAAGGCTTGCACCATCTCATGCAAATGATGTTGAAGCTGATTTGGTTTCCCAAAAGCGATCTAGAGATTTGAGACCTTTATGTACTCCGCAAGCCATGCAACTTTTTTTTGTGCCAGAAATTAACATTAATAATAATAATAAAAATCCAACCATCATTCATCCCTCACCCAGGTTTGTGCTAGAAATTTAAATTAATTATGATTAATTACTTGAAAATCCAACCATTTTTTTTATTGAGCTTCAACTCTTACCCATGTTGAGGGGGATGTGACTGAGTGTGGCCATTGCATTTTCCAGGCCTTGCCATTGCAATGCTTTTTAAAAGAGTTCTGCTTTTCCATTCCCTTTTTTTTTTTTCATTTAAAAACAAAAACACCAGTCCAAAATTCCAAATGCCCACACCCCTTGACCTATCCCATAGCCTGCTATTCATTCCGCCGATTCCATCATTTTTATTTTTATTTTTGAATAACTTGCCAATTTGGAGCATTTCTCGATTTATGTGTGTCATCCTTGCGCTAGGGCCATGCTAATCTTCTTTGTATCGTTCCAATTTTAACGGATGTCGCGGAGGACGATGGGGCTTCAATCCTATTGGCCTGGTGCAAACTTTAAAAAACTCGGTGGCCTTGATGTATCATCTTCAAACCGACCGGCCCCAATTACCTTACTCATCTTAGTCCATCTGGATTCAAACTGAGATCTGTATTTCAAAGGTGCATGGTCGTACCAACTGGGCCAGGCGAGTAGCCTGGTACAAACTAGCCCCCTGGTTGTACCAACTGCACTGCGCCAGTAGGCTGGTACGAACTAACACCCCAACAAACATGAAAACCCAGACAATAAAGAAGAAGTACTCAGACAACCCTTTTTCTGTAGTAACCCCTGGGTTACAAATGATGCAGGCCTGCAGTGGTCACAGTCCTCTACTGGCCAGAGATGGCTCTCACGGGTGGAGAGAGAGAGAGAGAGAGAGAGAGAGAGAGAGAGAGAGAGAGAGAGAGAGAGAGAGAGAGAGAGAGAGTTCTCCACTGACCAGAGAAGGGCACCTTGGCGGGTACAGCATCTGTGGTTCGAAGAGCGTAATTATTGCGATCGGATACATTCAGGATCTGCATCCATCGACCCAAAAGAAGAGACTAGAAGACTGCAAGTAAAATGGATCGTTAAATTGCTCACCAAGCAGAACTTAGCCTGGTCTACCTTCTTCCCGCGAATACAACGTACGGTCATTAGTGCATACATTTAAGTGCAAGCCCCCACTGGTGATAGGTTCATGCTAAGTTAGCAAGAACCTGGTTTATCCTTATGACCAGTTTCGTGCTTTCTGTGCATAAACATAGCATCAATGGGACTTGGCCATAATCCATCACATAGCACATTAGCTATAGAAGAAGAAAACCACATGTAAAAGGCGTTAAATGATCACTAGCTTGGGAACCCCCTTATGTTTCCAGGGCCCACTGGTGCTATGTTCATGCTAAGTTAGCAGTGCACGAGCCCGGTCATCTTTATGACCAGTTTCGTGCGTTCTTAGCATGAACATAGCACCAGGGAGGGCTTGCCCGAAACCCATTTCATAGGAAATTAGCTAAAGAAGAATGGCGCGATAGCTAGAACGCCTTAAGCAATTCACTGGCTTGGGAAATTCGTTACCGTGGCCATCTTTATGACCAGTTTTGCACTTTCTTAGCATGAACATAGCACCCGCGAGGGTTTGGCCGTAAGCCAGTGAGCCATTGCATAGGACATGAGCTATGGAAGAATGGCGCCATTGCTAGAAGGCCTTAAGCAATTTACTGCATACTTGCAAGCGGACGCCGTCCGGGGGGTTCCGCACGTGCGGCAGACCGCCGGACCGGACCCGCGCGGCACACGAATGTGCGCCCGACGACCAGTTACGCCCCCCCCCCCCCCCCAAAAAAAAAAAAAATGGCCCTGTCCGGTYCGGTCCAGGTCCGTCTGGTCCGGGGGGGGGGGGGCCGCACGCGGCAAAGCGGCCCGGACCGGACGCTCGTCCGGTCCGTCTGCTTGCAAGTATGATTTACTGGCTTGGGAAATTCCTTAACCTGTGGAATTCCTCATGTAAGGACTTTTCTTTTCTTTTCTTTGCTTTGCTTTGCTTTGCTTTGCTTTGCTTTGCTTTTCTTTTCAGTTGAAAAAAAGAAAAGAAAAGAAAAAAAAACTTTGAAAAGTGCTTCGAGACATCCGTTAAAAAATAATTGGAACGATGCAGATAAGATTAGCATGGCCCCTGCGCAAGGATGACACGAATAAATCGAGAAAAGAAAAGAAATGAAAATGTCCTTCAGGACACCTGTTGAAGCGGAACAACACAGAGAAGATTATCGTGGCCAGAAAAAAAAAAAAAAAAAAAAAAAAAAAGAGAGAGAGAGAGAGAGAGAACACTCAGAAAAGAGAAAAGAAAAGAAATCTCCTTACTGTCCACTATTCATACCTTCATCGCTCTTTCAAAACATACCTCAAGATAATTGCTGCATTTTCGTTACCCTTGAGTATCGGTTTCGTGCAGTCGCCGAAGACAAAATTCAAGTCCTCGTCCTCGCCATTTCCTGCCACATCGTTTTTGTCTGCTGTGTCTGCTGCTAGCTCACCTGCAGCAGACACCTCACACGGAACACTGACGGCCATCGATGTGTACCCGATTGCTTCCCACTTCGCTCTTTTCCTGTCCTCAGCTACCCTGTGCCTCTTCACTTTCCTTTCCTCTTCTTCTTCCTTCCTTTGTTCTAAAGACTTTGCATCTCTCGTCCTTAAACCTCCTCTGGCCTCACTGTCCAACCTGAGCTTGCCGGCAGCTGATCGTGGTCTGCCCGTATTGGCATCCACGATGAGGCTTTCCAAGGCCTCCTTGTCTTTGAGCTCCCTCTGCCCTTCTTTTTCCTCGTCGCCACCTGTGAGCTCTGCGTCCCTTGCTATTATGTCCTTATCTTCTGCCCCTCTTTGCTTGAGGGCTGCAAACACCATACCATCATAGTTACGACCCTCATCCTCGTCACGTGCACAGGACTCTCCTCCCGATTCCGTCTTCGCCAGAATGCTAGATCCGATGACACCCGTTGACGATGACTCGGGCTCTGATCCCAAGGGGCCAAGAAGCTTGTGCAGCCCGTGCTGTAGCATTTGGTGGAGATCTTTCACATGTGGAGGTTGAAGCTCCTCTTCCTCCTCCTCCTTGTTGTTCTCTTCCTCACTTGACATTAAGTCACGTGCCAGTTTCAGTTTCTTATGGGCTCGTTTCATTATGACCTGCAAGCACCCACAGATCGTACATGGAAGGCCCAGAATTCGGGGTTTTTCACCGCATCACCACAAGCAATGTCGTTGAAAAATTCTCGAACAAACAATGCAGGCTCGTAATACAAACATTAAAAAAAAGGCAAAAAAAGGCCAAAAAAAAACCCGGAAAAAAAAAACATAAGAGCGCAACTTTTTCGTTACTGGTCCAAATATGTCGAAAGTTCTCGAAACTAAATAGAGATATATCACACATATATATTTTATATATTATCGTATATATATCGTATATATCATATATATAAAGCACATACAGAGCACGCACACGCACACACACACAAAAAAAAAAAAAAAAAAAAAAAAAAAAA